ACACACGTCTAGTAACTACCAGCAGGCAGAGAAGTTGGTCCCCACCCGCTCCAAGCATGTGTGTCTGGAACCGAAACTGCCTAGGCGCACACCCCCTCCACCCGGCAGAAATAGGGCACCAAATGCCTGGTGATCCTCTCGTAGGATCCTCTCCGTCCCCCGGAGCCCAGGATTCCCCAAACTGCTGGTAGGCTGGATGCCAACACCTGTCTTGCTCCTGGAAGCAGTAGCCTGGCAAAGGATGGAGGAGAGATGGAACGGCTTGCAGTGGAGGAACGTACAGGCTGACACCGGGGCAGGTCTCACCGGTGGGAGGAACAGTCACCAAACTTGAAAAGCTTCTCTGCCCGAGTCCCTCCCACCCAGGTGTCCAGAGCCAGGGCCTCCGCCATTTTACCATGCCTTCATTCCTAGAGATGAGTCTTTTAAAATATGCAAATATTCTGACCCCACACTTCCATTCCGAGGCTTCTCTCTCCGAGAGGAATGAAAGCAGGGGTCCATACAGAAGCTTGTACACGGGTGTTCACGACAGCACTGTTCATCCTGACCACAGAGTAGAAACTGCCCAAATGTCTACCAATGTTTATCCAAGAGGAATGTATCTGTGGTGGTGTGTCCACACAAGGATTACTCTGCAGTAAAAGGAACGACGTACTGCTCTATAGGGCAGTGGATGAACCTTAAAACATCTTTCTAAGCAAAAGAAACCAGTCACAACAGATCCCCTTTTGAATAGTTCCATTTGTATGAAATGTCCCAAACAGGTAAAATTATGGGGATGGAAAGCAGATAGGCTGCTTAGAGCTGCAGAGGTGGGATGGCGGGGGGTTGGGGTGGTGGGGTGGGGTGGTGGTGATCCTGGGGGGAATGGGCAGTGACTGTGAATGGATGTGTGCTTTCTTTTCTGGGGGGGTGCTAAAAATGTTCTGAAACTGATTGTGTGATGGTTGGATAGTTGTAAATATGTATTAAAAACTACTGAGTTGTATGCTTTAAATGACTGAAGCAGATGGTCTATGAATTCGATCTCAATAAAGCTGCAATTTAAGAAATAAAAATAAAACAAGGACCACGGTAAACACTCAGTAAATAACAGCTCTAGTTTAAGTTCAA